GGTTTTCACTGCTTTGGGGTTTTCACTGCTTTGGGGTTTTCACTGATTTGGGGTTTTCACTGATTTGGGATTCACACTGGTTTAGGGGTTATGCTGGTTTGGGGTTTACACTGGTTTGGGGTTTGCACTAGGTTGGGGTTTTCACTGGTTTGGGGTTTGCACTAGGTTGAAGTTTGCATAGGTTTGGGGTTTGCACTGGTTTGGGGTTTACACTGGTTTGGGGTTTACACTAGTTTGGGGTTTACACTAGTTTGGGGTTTACACTAGTTTGGGGTTTACACTAGTTTGGGGTTTACGCTGGTTTGGGGTTTTCACTGGTTTGGGGTTTACACTGGTTTGGGGTTTACACTGGTTTGGTGTTTGCACTAGGTTGAAGTTTGCACTAGGTTGAAGTTTGCACTGGTTTGGGGTTTGCATAGGTTTGGGGTTTGCATAGGTTTGGGGTTTGCATAGGTTTGGGGTTTGCGTAGGTTTGGGGTTTATACAGGTTTGGGGTTTATACAGGTTTGGGGTTTATGCTGGTTTAAGGGTTACACAGATTTGGGGTTTTCACTGGTTTGGAGTTTACACTGGTTTGGGGTTTGCACTAGGTTGGGGTTTTCACTGGTTTGGAGTTTACACTGGTTTGGGGTTTGCACTAGGTTGGGGTTTTCACTGGTTTGGGGTTTGCATAGGTTTTGGGTGTACACTGGTTTTGGGTGTACACTGGTTTGGGGTTTTACACTGGTTTGGAGTTTACACAGATTTGGGGTTTGCATAGGTTTAAGGATTGTTAATTTTACAGATTTGTCTCATTGTCGGCCAAATGAAATTTTGCCTAAGTGTGAAGTGTCTGTCTATAAACTGACAGACAGACAGGTAGCTGGCTTAAAGCCTTGAAAGCACTGATACATGTAGGTGCATAATACATGTAGCTAGTCTGAACCCTCGGCCAGTAAAGCATTCAAAATGGTCTCAGAATGCAACAATAATGTTATAGTCAAAACTGTATGGTTAATTGTGTTTCGTACAGGTAGTCAATTTCATTAGACCCCGTGGACCACATGTGACTGGCGGCCAGTGTTCCCTCTAAGCCTTGTTTTCACTCAATTTTCTCAGATTCAATTGTAGTTTTTCAGTGAAATTTTGTCTTTTGAGAAACTTTCCATGCATTTTGTAAGTGGAAAAAATATTTCAAGGGGAAAATGGGCAAATTTTCACATTATTTTCAAGATTCAAAATAATTAAAGGGAACAGTGCTGGTGGCATTTTGTACAAGTTACTTTTATAGCTTACAGTATATTTACATTGTCAGGTATACCGCTGCAGTTGTCGTTTCATGATTTATTTGATGAGGTATTATTGAGGGCTGTTGAAAGTGTAATTTATATAATGACTCCACAACTGTTAATTCTAATTGTGCTACAGTCGAACTACATGTACAAGATAAGATGTATTTTCTTCTACATTTTGTGTTCACTATTTGCAGTATTAAATAGTACAATACGACTTTATACATGTATGATAATAGTAATGTCAGTTTGTTTGGCCCGACCATGCAGCTGTCTGTCTCTACATTGTTGCATGTATTTTTTAACGGGCTAAGCCAAGCCAAATGTTGCAAAACATGTATTATTAGTTCCTGTTTGAGGTAAGTTCTAAAAAGGATCAAATTCTTTCATTCTTTGCACGGCCCTAATACTTTATGTGGGACATACATGTACATGTACATGCAGTGGTTTAGTGATTTGATTCAAAATGGCTGACTGGCAGGCATTTTTGTTTTTTGAAAATATGGTATCATAGAACACTTTGCCAATTTTTGTTCAAATTTGTTACATACATTATCCATGTTAGGATACATGTCCATGACAATTTGTTTTGCTATCAGATCAAAGATCAATATCTCCAAGACTTGTAGAACATTTCCTTTCACATTTGTGATTATGAAACAAACTGACATGGACATGTATTTTGATCAAAGATGACCAACTGGCAGCCATCTTGTTTTATGAAAATGTATTATCATATTTTTGTCACATACTGGTACATACAAATTTATTCTGAAACAATGTCACATGACCATTAATTTGCATATCCAATATATTATGCATGTACATGTAGCAATACATCTCTATAACAATTCAATTTGTGATCAGATAAAAGATGACAAACTGGGACTGTATCATTAACAATGATTTGCTAAAGAAAAAATTTGTGAAATGCTATTTAGTCTCAAATTACATACAAAAAAAATCTGTTTTTTTTAATAATTTCATTGTTATCCAATATTGTATAGTATTAACAGATGTACTGAATGGGGTTTGTGGATAGGGGTAAAAGGGGATTGTTGGTTCATTATCGTTGACTGTAATATAAACTTCACTGGGGCGTCACCAGTAAAAGGCTTTGACTGACCAACTTGTTGGTAGATTGATTGTCTCTACAGTGTAGGATTCACCAGAGGTTTCAAAACTTGAATTGCTGTCAATAGCATTGAGGTTGAACCATAAATGTTCACTTTGCACAATAGGAAACTTCTCTCCAAATCTGGTATTTTAAATTGCATTCAGTTCCTGTTACGACAAAAACAAAGACTTTTAAGTTTACCTCTGTGTGTAATACACCTGTATCTCAGACATGCCTTTGCTGATTTCATTCAAAATTGTGTTTGTTTCAAAATCCAATTCAAGATGGCTGAAAAACAGCCATTTTAGTGCTACCAATTTCATCAAACTTCTAGCATTTCTGTCATTCAGAACTGATTGTGAATAGACATACTCTTGATATGTCCATTAAACATAATGTGTAATTGATGCATATCATTTTTTCCCCCCAAATTTATTTCAAAATTGCTAACTGATAGCAATTGTTCATATTCTAATGATATTTTCTGTTCTTTAACTGAAATGTGCATTGCTAACAGCGGAGCAATCTCAGTCTAGAGGCTGCTTGTTTGTCCTTACCACAGCACTGGTATACATGAAATATATGTTCTATTCTGACTTTGTAATAATGTTTGTTTCACAGGAAAGAAATACAAGACTTTGTTAAATTAAAGAACAATTATATACTTACAAAAACGAATGTCCATGTTGGTCAGAAACTACCTTACAGCGCTTCTCCAAGTCGGACTTTCACGCTATCAAAGAAAGTCTTCAATATCCTTGGCAAGGTATATATATGTATTGTCATTTTTACTATCGTCTGACATAAATACTTTAAATTAATGTAGTATTTAAATTCTTTTATTAGCTCAGCTGTCAACTTTGTCGAGCGGAGCTTATCATATGAGTGATTGTCCGTCATTGTCTGTGTCAACTTTTTAGCTCCGCTGTCGACTTTGTCGAGCGGAGCTTATCATATGAGTGATTGTCCGGCGTCGTCCGGCGTACGTTGTCCGTGTCAATGTTTTACTTTTTCGACTTCTTCTTGAAAACTACAAGCCTGAATGCTTTGATACTTGGTGTATATGTACCTTGGGTAGACCTCTCTCAGATTTGTTCATTTCATGATCATATCTTCAATTCTCTAATTTTGGTGAATATTTTTGTCATTTTTGGTAAAAAGTGATATTTTCGACTTCTCGTTAAAAACCGCAAGTCCAGTTGCTTTGATATTACATATATAGGTACTACATGTGGAACTCTCTCAGATTTGTTCATTTTGTAATGATATCTTTAATTCTCTAATTTTGGTGAATATTTTTGTCATTTTTGGTAAAAAGTGATATTTTCGACTTCTTGTTAAAAACCGCAAGTCCAATTGCTTTGATATTACATATATAGGTACTACATGTGGACCTCTCTCAGATTTGTTCATTTTGTAATGATATCTTCAATTCTCTAATTTGAGTGAATATTTTTGTCATTTTTGGTAAAAAATGATATTTTCAACTTCTTGTTAAAAAACGCAAGTCCAATTGCTTTGATATTACATATATAGGTACTACATGTGTACCTCTCTCAGATTTGTGCATTTTGTAATGATATTTTTAATTCTCTAATTTTGGTGAATATTTTTGTCATTTTTTATAAAAAGTGATATTTTCAACTTGTTGTTGAAAACCGCAAGTCCAATTGCTTTGATATTACATACATAGGTACACATATGGACCTCTCTCAGATTTGTTCATTTTGTAATGATATCTTTAATTTTGGTGAATATTTTTGTCATTTTTGGTAAAAAGTGATATTTCGACTTCTTGTTAAAAACCGCAAGTCTAATTGCTTTTATATTACATATATAGGTATTACATGTGGACCTTGTTAATTTCGCGGTGATATCTTCAATTACTTAATTTTGATGATTATTTTTGTCATTTTTGGTGAAAAGTGATATTTTTGAATTCTTGTTGAAAACAGCAAGGTTCGTTGCTTTGATACATATTGTTCATTTTCTAATGATATCTTCAGTTCCTTAATTGAAATGTGCATTGCTAACTGCGGAGCTATGTCAGTTGAGAGGCTGCTTGTTTGACTTGAAAATTACAAGCCTGATTGCTTTAATACTTTAGTGTATATGTAATTTGGGTAGAGCTCTCTTAGATTTGTTCATTTCATGATGATTTTTATAATTCTCTAATTTTGGTGAATATTTTTGTTATTTTGGCTAAAAAGTGATATTTTCAACTTCTTGTCTGATTGTTTTGATACTAGAGAGGCTGCTTGTTGTTTTTTTTCCTGATAAAACTGTTTGTTTGCCAACCAGATGTGGGAGTTTGGTGTATGTAAATATCTTGTGCCTACTGTGACCAATCACAATACTGTGTTTAATGACCATACTCTCCGAAAATTCCTGAATATTGATAGTGGCAAAGCAGAAGTGAAATACAATCTGTTAGCACTGATTTTCTAAAAACTGGTGATTCATAATTCTGACAGGCAAACAGAGTGTGAAGAAAGATTTTAACACTTTCATGGTCATCAACAGGTCAAGTGGAAAAACAGTTTGGTCATTCACATTAAGGATACATTGGATACTGTAATCAAAAAAGTAAAATGATTTCCAATGACAAGATTTCATGACTTGTTGATCACATTTTTAGTCCGAACGGGGACTTATGTTTTGACCTCCGTGTGTCCGTGCATGTGTGCGTGCGTGCGTCTTTGTGTGCGTCCGGACCTGTATCTTAGAAATGCCTGGACCAATCACAATCAAACTTCACACATACATCATACATGATATTATACATATGCACGTCAATTTGTTTCACGATCTGATTCAAGATGGCCGAATGGCGGCCATTTTTGTGCTAAAAAATCATCAAATATCAAGCATTTCTGGCATTTATGGATGGATTTTGTTCAAACTTGGTACATACATTAGACATTACGGGTTCCTGATGCACATCATTTTATTTTTCAGATTGGATTCAAAATGGCTGACAGGCGGCCATTTTGTTTTAATGATTGGGCTTCTAGAGCCATATCTCTTAAATGCTTTGACTGATTATATATTCAAATTTTATATATTCGTTATACATCTTGTTATATATATACATGTATTCAAAATGGCTGATTTTGAATGCCGTTCCAGAGCAATATCTCTCATTATGGACAAGTACTTGTTTGACGATCAGATACGAATGTCAATCATTTTAATGTTAAAAAATCATATTCCTGACATGGTTATATTCCAGCTATATTACTATAAATAAAACTATATCTTAAATTTGATAACTAACAGGGACTGTGCCATGCATGGCTTGTTGATGTTTAAATTTACTCAAAGATAAATGGATTACTTCGTATTGCAACATTGGGTTAGTCATTAATAATAGCAGAATGGAAAAAGTATGCAACATGTTGTGTTGTGCACTAGTTTATGCAAGTTCTTCTGGTGGTAAAAGCACAAACCAAACACTCCCACCACACACCACACATTCAAAAAGAGAACACTGTATCAATGTAACGAAACACACTTGTTACATGCATATTTTTAATAAATATCTTTCACTACGAGTTGCTTTTTCGGTGAGCGGCTTTGGTAGTGAGTAGCTTTTGCAGTGAGTAGAGCTTTATCACAGTCTTTTCATTGAGAATTAATGTTTTATGTGCCATTAGCAACTGATGTTAATCTGGGAAAACCATCCTTAGAAGCTGTTAATTTGTCCTTATGTTTTGTAAAATTTTTCTGGCAGGAGTTCCTAAATATAACCCATGCTATGATAATGCACCCTAGTTTCTTACTTCAACCAAGAATTATTTGACCATTTATAGAATGGGTCTTTCATCATGCATTCTTGTTATACTGCTAAGTGATATACTATAAGTAATGATGTAATTGGTGTTGCAGAAGGAGAGTTGCATATTGTTTATGGAAATTAATAATCCCCAAAACATTTTTCCAATATAGATAAGAATTAATAATAGTACAAAACAAGTAGTAATGTATAAGTTATGAATAGTTACAGTGATAGTTACGGAAATTGCGACAAAATCATTAACGGCAATATTCCAGGGATGGCAGTGATGACACTGTTTTAAATCATAGTTCAAAATATGGGAATTAACTATAGTTCACCCCTGAGAGGAACTCAAATTATAGCTTTTGAGGGTGTCATAATAAGCGAGGGAGTAAACTGTGCTTATGTTATCAAAAAGTGAAGACCTCAAACATGCTTTTATGGTCTATGAACTTTGACCTATTGTTTATTCAAATTTATGAGCTACTGTTTACTCTCTTGCAAACTGACCTATGAACTTTTCTTTACTTAATGATTGATTACTCAGACTCGTGACCTATGACTTGTGAATTATAATGTGTTTTATGAACTATGACGTATGACCTGTTTATTCAGAATTATGAACTATAACCAATGACCTGTTTATTCAGAATTATGAACTATAACCTATGACCTGTTTATTCAAAATTATGAAATATAACCAATGACCTGTTTATTCAGAATTATGAACTATAACCTATGACCTCAGTCTTATGAACTATATAGAAGTGTTTTACAGTGCAACAGTCAACTTGCTGAGCCCATGTGTACCTGCATGCTTGACTGCTGAATTATGCGTGTGTGTAATATTACCGTATTTGAATGGTTAATTTTACAAATTATCATTTCAGTTAATTATGAAATAAAACATTTGTGTTTATTTTTTTGTTTGCAGGTATCACCGATTGGTGACAAACACTACAATACATGCACCATTGTAGGTAATGGTGGTATCATCCTTGGGAGTGGATGTGGTCATGACATTGACAGCACAGAATATGTTTTCAGGTATAAAAAGCAAAATGATGTAATTGATTGTATTTGAAAAAACATGTGGAACAAAACTTTTGACAATTTTTGTGTAATTTTCACTGCTAAATATTATACAGAAATTAACTATTATTGACTGTATTTGAATGACAATATACCTGTCAGATGTCTAGTTTATCTATCACTTAATTTTGCAATACCATGTGATAATTTATTCTTTGTTTTTCTAGGTGTAACGTTTCTCCACTAAAAGCTTACTCCACCGATACTGGCAGTAAAAGTAATCTGGTCACAGTCAATAAATCCCTTCTTTCATACAGGTATGTATAACACATTTTCTCTTCCAAAACTTTTCTACCACAAAATAAATTTTCACAACAAATCTGAAAATGCAAATTTATGATTAATATTTATTTAGAAAAGAAAGTCATGGTGATAATTATGACAGTTGTTGTGCTTCCCTGATTGCATTCTGAAAAGATGACTTGACTAAGGGACAACATCAAATGTTCAATGTAGGATAAAAAACTTAATTCCTTTAGTCCCTCCTCCCAACTGAAACTTAATTGATAAATATTGGTCATGGCGTCAGACTACATTTACCATTAAATACAAATTGATAATCGGACAGTAGTATTGCATAGAAGTTGGTTGTCGGGTGGGTGTAAAAAGACTTTACAAATGCACCTCATTTGACGCACATATTTACACTCAGACCAAATCATTTTTTTGTCTTGGATGTGATTTTTTTCATTTTCTGTTTTTTCAGTCCATGATTGGATAAAAAACCCCCAAAAACTACAAATACTCCAAGATTTTTTGGACTTCATTTAAAAATAAAATCGTTTTTGTAGGATGGAAACTTTTTGAGGCCCCCCCCCACCCCCAAACTAAAGCAAATAAGTTTTTTATCCACATTGATCTTTTGACGTCGTCCCTAAAGGAATTACCAAAATCTCAAGATATCGCTTCATTATTAATAGCACAATTCAACAATTATTGTTGCCATGGTGATTGATCAAGTCATGTTGAACTGTTTTGAAAAAATGTTTTTGTTTTTTAAATTATATATCAACTATAAAACACCACAGTATAGAGAATGTTATTACATATCACACTTGCATATCTCTGCTTAGATGTTTCTGGATACAGTTGTCGGTGTAATGTCAAAGATAAGAACGATAAACTTTGATATAAAATTAATGTTCATCGTTTATAATTTGTGAAATTATGCAGTGTTGCATATAAAACATAATTGCATTTCTGAAAAATGAAAAATTGTATCATAATTTTAAGTATTGCTACTACATTAATAAAGCAATTGAACAAGTTGCAATTGGTTAATATTGCCATGGTAACATCCCATTATGTACATAATTGCTACAATAGAACACCATAGTTTTCTCGGGAGTGCATATTCTGGTGCTTTCACTGCCTGGCAACCACAACTGGGGAAAAGAAGGATGAAAACTTTTGGCTAGTTGTTGATTCTCCTGAGCAGTGCAACATGTATAAATTTGGTTGCTCAGGATTACCTCAAAGTTGAGTTTGTGTCGTTTTATCAACTTTTCGCCGGGGCCCCTAACGTAAAACATATCACAATCTGGAAGCTATAGTTATAGTAGTGTCAGCATTTGATAAGCTGTTATCATTTAATAGATAAGCATGATAAACTCAAGGTCAGGGTCCATAGTATGTTGGTGCATCAACAGCATGAACAAAAAACGTGAACAGATTTGTTTTTCTCCCAATTAGCATTTATCAAAACATTACAATACTAGTAGCTTTGTGGTGAGTGGCTTTCACGGTAAGTGGGTTTCATATTTGGTGGGTTTCGCAGGAAGTATGGCTTTGTCTCAGTAACTGGTCCTTTCATTGTTGTTGAGAATTAAAGTTTTATGTTTCTTTAACAACTGGCGCTATTCTAGGAATACCGTCCTAACGATGACATCACCAGCAGTCTGTTGTACTTACATAGTCTACCGACCATCATCCAGGTGTTTTTGAAAACCCAATAAAACTCTTTACCTATTGGGGTGCTCTTTTCAGAATTGAATTTATGCAAGAAAAAAAATGGTACAAACCAAATTTTGCATCACTTGTGAATATTAAAATGTATGTAATTTGAGCTCTCATCTACGACATTGTACTGAAGAAATAGGTTCAAAAATGAAAATCCTATGAAATAAATAAATACCACCACATACAATTACCGGGGTAGTGAAGTACATGTATGTGAATTAAGTTTTATTATATCGTAACTCAGTCATCTCGTAGTTAAGATCACAGAGACATAAAAAACATAACAACGCAAGTGAAACCAAAAAAAGTTCATAAATGAACAAAAATAACAATATAAAAAATATATATTAATTAAAAAAAACGAATGGTGCCTATTAGTCTAGGATCATTTGTAATTTCGTGTATTTTTTTTGGTAAAAGCAAAAACTCACTTGATTTTGAAAGAAGATATCATAAGCTTTAATAAAAATTAGGGTGTCAATTTTTGTTCACTTCCTAAGGGTCTGAAATCCAAGATGGCGTCCAAAATGGCCGCCGTTTAGCAATAATTAAATATATTGACTCATACACATGTTAAAACTACAAACAAAGTGTCTAGATATAGGTTTTTGGACACGAGGAAAGCAATGCTATATTCAAATTTAGGCTAAAATTATGATTTACATGCCTATGGTCAAGATGGCTTCCATTCTGAATTCTATTGAATTGAACACCGTAATCTATA